TAAACTAACCTGGACTCACTGACCTGAGTTCAACTGTTTACAGATTTTTATTTTATTTTATTTTTAAAGGGAGTCTGTTGTCAGAAGATTAAAGAGGAGGAGACGGGATTCATGCTGTACTCATGCATCTTAATGAACTCTGAGACAGAAAAGTCTGCAGGGGTGAACCTTAAGAAGAAATAAATCTTTTTAGCTTTTAGCCGATTAATTCATTAGAACCATTTAGTTGTAAGTGGGGGGAGACATCCAGTACTTTGTCTGACATTGAAGGATTTCAAAGAATCTAACACATTTGACATTGATTTTATGTGATTTTCTGTCTTCCTCGCCTCATTTTCCTGTCTGTTTTCTCTCACTACCTCAGTACACAGAGGGTTGTGTAGGTTTCATAACTCTGACTCATAAAATCTGCTCATGTTGTACTGATTTAAAAATACTTCTGTTGTTTTCCCACCTCTGACTATCTGTGCCCGCTTCATTGTTACTGGTTCATACCTGGATGTCAGCAGCGCGTTCACGTATGTGTGTTTGTTTGCACTCATTGACACACTCGGCTTTGTTAAGCCCCTCAGGCGAGGTTTCCAAGCCTGTCAGAAGGCTGGGCTTCACCCAATAAGAAGCCAGAAACCCAGATGACCTCAGCAGTGCCTGCTTAGCCATATGTTTACAGCGTGCAGCTATAGTGGCCTTACTGCATTAATCCAGTGTTTTAAAGAGCTGGACTGCTGGAGTGAGAGATCACTATGCTTTCAGTGACAGTGAGATACAGATAAGTCCTGATAATGAGGCTTTTTCTTTTAAATCCCACATTATTAGCTGCGGTTTTCAGCTTGATGAACTAAGTATTTATTTGTTTATTTTAAACAGAAACTCACTTCATCACTTGATCCAGACTAGAAAGACTTAAAGGCCTAAAGTTTAATATATTAATGTTATCATTAAAAATTAGATGTTTTATTTTTTACTGGGGCTTCACACGTGACGTCATGCTAACAAATTATTTTGGTTGCCTGTAGTTTTCATGTTTGTCTGCAAATACTCACTAACTACTAGCCAAGTGGTGGCAAAACTCATTATAGTGCAATGAAAACTAAAAATGGAGCTGGTTCACCTCCAAAATAAAAGTTGTGCCCCCGCGCTGTGAGTTTCAAAAGGTGCAACTTTTATTCTGAAGGTGAACCGTCTCAATTTC